TGAGTCGTGATCGTGCGTCGTGAGTCAGGGACTCGTGGTGGAGTCTCGACGCTGATAGCTGCTGCGTAGACTGCACATGGGTCACCTCATTCCCTTCATGTTCACCAAGTGAGCCGCGCGTTGGGTTCATGAGTTGTGCGTCTTGAGTCTTGAGTCTGGACACGCATTAGAATCATGACACCAGTAGCTGCTGAAATCTCAGAGCCCCTCTAGTCTTCCGCAGATGCTTCTCGGCGTTAGCCAATGCCGAGAAGTATCCGTGGAAGAGCGTGACTGCGGAGGAGGGGGTGACTGCCACAGCTACTTATCATCTTCCTCACCCTCTCAACGCTCCTCACTTACTCAACACCCCCAGGTGGCTACAAGAAGCATTCAAGGTCCCTCTGGTGATTCATTTAACCGACGACGAGAAATATCTGTGGAAGAGCATGAGTGTGGAGGGGGGGAAGGGAAGGGTTAATTGCCTCAGTTTCTTTCTTTCGGTCCGTCTCCTTGACACACCTTCAGGTGGCTTCAAGAGGCGTTCAAGGTCCCTCTGGTGATTCAGTTGACTGATGATGAGAAGTATCTGTGGAGGAGCATGAGTGTGGAGGGGGGGTTGATTGACGCAGCCTGTCTTTCTTTCTCACCCCTCCAGGTGGCTTCAAGAGGCCTTTAAAGTCCCTCTGGTCATCCAGCTGACCGACGACGAGAAGTATCTGTGGAAGAGCATGAGTGTGGAGGAGGCACGGCGGCTGGCGAGGGAGAACGCCAAGGACATCATTGCGTGCGGGTTTGACGTTTCACGAACCTTCATCTTCTGTGACTTTGACTATGTGGGCGGGTGTGTGATGGCTGGGTTGGGGGTAGAGAAGATGAGCGAGGCAGCGTTGAGTATGTGGAAGGGAGAATGCCAAGGACATCATTGCGTGCTGGTTTGATGTTGCAAGGACCTTTATCTTCTGTGACTTGGACTATGTGGGCGGGTGAGTTTCGTGGGAGGACCGGGTGGGCTGGATGGTCAGCCGTGGCATGGCATGGCATGGCATGGCATGGCATGGCATGGCATGGCGTGAGTGAGTGTGAGGGAGAACGCCAAGGACATCATTGTGTGCGGCTTTGACGTGTCAAGGACCTTCATCGTCGTGGGGAATGATGCGTGACTTTGACTACGTGGGCGGGTGCGTTCTCTTTAAGGAGGGGGTGCGTTCTCTTTAAGGAGGGGGTGCGTTCTCTTTAAGGAGGGGGTGCATGGGGTGGGACCATCATTGCATGACGGCTTGACGTTTGGAACAACGTTCAACTGGTGCGACCTGAATTGGATTGTGTGCGCGTGCATGGTTGTGTGGTGGCATGGCAGGGACTTCTATCAAAACATTGTGAAGATCGCTCGATGTGTCACTCTCAACCAGGCAAGGCGCCAATCTCTGACTGCCTGATTGTTGAGGATTTTAGTCAGAAGTTGGCCAAGGATTCAGTTTATTTGCTCTCATGTTACCACTTTGTTTCTCCAGTATTTTGCCAAATCAAAATCTTGTCACATCATATCACATCATATCACTGTTATTGTGTGCTACGTGTCATGGCATCAGGCACGGGGCATCTTTGGATTCGACGGTGAGGATTGCATCGGCAAAGTGGGCTTCCCTCCCGTTCAGGTGCCACCCTCTCCCCAACCCACCCTTACCCTCTTCCACTCTCCCCCACCCTCCTCCACCTCTCCTCCACCCTCACCCTCACCCTCACCCTCACCCTCACCCCCACCCTCTTCCCCTCCCTCTCACATGCCCTCCAATCCCCCGACCACCCTCGCTGCCGCTCTCTCCATTCTACCGACACCAACTGTCTCACCGGCACATTTGTCCCCTCCTCACTGTCTCTCTGCTCTCGCTGGCACCCCAACCTCCCAGGCTGCCCCAGCGTGCCCCTCGTCCTTCCCGCACCTGTTCGGCCGCAAGAACGAAGTGCGCTGCCTCATCCCCCACGCCATCGACCAGGTGTGTGCACTGTGAACCATGCCATGCCATGCCATGCCATGCCACCAATGCCATGCCATGCCATGCCACCAATGCCATGCCATGCCATGCCATGCCATGCCACCAATGCCATGCCATGCCATGCCAAGCCTGGGCTTCCACATCCCCATGTTTCTGGGCTTCTGATGCACTCATATCCCCCGTCCTCTATCTCCCCCTGCCCCCTCCCCCTGCTAGGACCCCTATTTCCGCATGACACGTGACTGTGCTCCGCGCCTGGCCTTCCACAAGCCCGCACTCATCGAGTCGCGCTTCTTCCCCGCCCTGCAGGTCAGAGGGGGCCCGTGGTGGGGGTGATGGGGGATGCTGGGGTGGGATAATGGGGGGTGGTGAGCGGTGGTGTGGGGTGGTGGGGAGTGGTGGGGGTGATGGGGATGGTGTGGCTGCAGGAAAGGTTGCCTGGGCTTCCACAAGCCAGCGCTCATTGAGTCGCGCTTCTTCCCCCCACAGGTGCGCACAGCGCGGTGGTGGGGGGTAACGGGGGGCGGTGGGTGGGAACAGGAGGTGGTGGGGGGCAATAGGGGTTGGTGTGGGGTAATGAGGGATGTGGGAGGGTAACGAGGGATGACGGGGGGCATTGTGCACTTGTTTTCTCTCCAGCGCACTGGTAACCACCTTGCCTTTACCACCCGTACTCTCATCTCTCCCCTCTCCCTGCACTCATCCCTCTCCTATGCACAGGGCGAGAGTGGCAAGATGAGCGCCAGTGACCCCATCCCCCCACCCATCCCATGACCCCATCCCCCCACCCATCCCATGACCCCATCCCCCCACCCATGACCCATGTATGCTCTCTCACTCTCTCCGCCACCTCAAGTCTCACCTTGCTTCCACTGCCCGTACTCCCCTCCTCCCCCTCTCCGCATCTCTCCACATCCCCCTCTGCTGCGTGCAGGGCGAGAGTGGCAAGATGAGCGCCAGTGACCCCAACTCGGCTGTCTTTGTCACGGACTCGCCCAAGGAGATAAAGAACAAGGTAAGGCTTTTGAGGCGCCCAAGGAGATAAAGAACAAGGTAAGGCTTTTGAGGCGCCCAAGGAGATAAAGAACAAGGTAAGGCTTTTGAGGCGCCTCAAAAGTCTTTGTCACGGACTCGCCCAAGGAGATAAAGAACAAGGTAAGGCTTTTGAGGCGCCCAAGGAGATAAAGAACAAGGTAAGGCTTTTGAGGCGCCTCAAAAGTCTTTGTCACGGACTCGCCCAAGGAGATAAAGAACAAGGTCAGGCTTGGCGATACCGCCGTCACGGATTGCTGTACCCATGACCTGTTAATGCCTAACCACGTGCCCCAGGTTGTCCCACCACTATCCCCATGTGTATCCATCCTTCCTTCCTCCACGACCCCTCCTCCCTCGCGTCAACTGCCATCTGCCTTTCGCCCCACAATCACCACAGTTTTCGCTCTTCCCCTCCCCCCTCTCCACCCCGCCCTCTCATGGCCTGTGCAGATCAACCGCTATGCCTTCTCAGGCGGTGGAGCAACCATTGAGGAGCACCGAGCCAAGGGGGCGAACCTGGAGGTGGGTGCGGTGGAATGTCGATGTTTCATGCTGAATGGCTTCAAGAGAGAGGCGAGTGGACGGTTTTATGCTTTCCGTGTCTCCTTCCCTTCCTCTCTTGAGTCGACTCAAAAATGCTTTCCGTGTATCCTTCCCTTTTGAGACGTCTCAAAACACTCCTTTTTTCACGTGGTTCCGTGTATCCTTCCCTTCCTCTCCTGACTTGCCTGCATGCCTGAATCTTGCACAACCTGTCTTACTTTGCCGCATGCTGTTTCCACCCACAATCGCAGGTGGAAGTGCCACTGAAGTACCTCTCCTTGGAAACCCATGCCGTCTCATGCCATCCCCACCCATCCCCACCTATCTCCACCTATCCCCACCCATGCCTGCAGGTGGACGTGCCAGTGAAGTACCTGTCCTTCTTCCTGGACGACGACATTGAGCTGGAGCACATCAAAACGGTGAGAGCACTTTAAAATGACGAGTGCTTTAAACTGTTTTGGTTGCGGTGAGCATTGCTGGGAGTGAGGGCACCATGCGGAATAATATCTCCCCCCCTCACCATTGCTCCCATCACCCCTCACTCCAGGAGTACGGGGCAGGGAGAATGCTGACAGGGGAGGTGAAGGGGCGGCTGGTGGAGGTGTTAACTGCCATGGTGGAGCGCCATCAGAAGGCACGCGCACTTGTCACTGATGAGGTGAGTGCCCCAAATTGACGAGGTTAGTTCCACCCACTGATCAGGACAGTCAGTCACACGGCTCGTGTCATTCCTCATGCCTAACCTCATCAGTCTGCCTGCACACATGGAGGTATTAACTGGCATGGTGGACCACCACCAAAAGGCCCGTGCTCCTGTCACAGACGAGGCTAGTCATCGTCTGGCCCCCGTTCATGTGGCCACCATACATCTGCTGCCCATCTCATCTGCCCCATCTCACGTTCCCCCCCCCTACTCCCATGCATCCCCAACTGGTGGATGCATTTACGGCAGTGCGGCCCATGACACACATGTTCAGCTAGGCACTGCCTTAACGATACCAGCTTGTCGGGAGTTATCTTGTCCTCCATCTGTCCCCCATTCATCTGTCCCATCTCATCTGCCCCATCTCATCTGCCCCACCTCATCTGCCCCACCTCATCTGCCCCACCTCATCTGCCCTCATCATCTTATCCCCTCCCATGCACACAGATGGTGGATGCATTTATGGCAGTGCGGCCCATGCCACACATGTTCAGCTAGCCACTGCCATACTTGCAGTACAGTGTCAGTGCTTATTGGATCCTGGTCTAATGTACTTCTCTCAGTCTAGTGGAGTTTAACCAAACAGTTTCCAGCATTTACCCTTGTTCCTATGGTAGATTCAACATTCCCACTTGCACCCTTTCAATTATTCAACATACCATGAAAATAAAAACACTCCAGAGCCGAAGGACAACCAAGAACACTTCTGCAGCTCTACTCATCCAAAACCCTAGTCAACCCTACAGATTTTGGCTCTTGGAAAAGGCGAGCCGGATAACCTGCCCACCGATGGGCGTGGCATGCTTCACCACAAGCGCATCAGTGGCCGCCTCCACCGTTTCAAACAGCAGCACCACCTGCTTCTTCCCGTCCTTGTCAATCACCTTCTACCCCAGCACACGCACTGTCATCTACCCCCCAGAACCATCCCCTACAGATTTTGACTCTTGGAGAACGCGAGCCGGATAACCTGCCCACCGATGGGCGTGGCATGCTTTGCCACGAGCGCATCAGTGGCCGCCTCCACCGTTTCGAACAGCACGAGCACCTGCTTCTTCCCGTCCTTGTCGATCACCTTAGACCCCAGCACGGGCCCGTGCGGGGCCATGTGCTCTACCACCATGTCAGTGCTGGCGTCAGCTGGCAGGTTGCTGCAGTGCAGCATGCGCGTGGGCGCGCAGCAGTGGCGGTAGTTCTTGGGCGCGTTGCGGCCGAAGCGGTTCAGGTTGGACGTGGAGTAGTCTTTAGTGTCGGCTGAAGGGTTGATGGACGGGTACTTGGAATAGTTCACCTCCAGCCGCTTCCCAAACACGGCAGCACCCTGGGAAAGGGAGGGAGGTAGGAGTAGGGACGAGGAGGGGAAGGGGAGGGAGTGCGGAGGAAGCCCATGGGAGGGCAGATTTGAGCGAAGTAGTGTGAGAGGAATGGATAATGTAGTGACAGAAACGCACCAACTTAGTGTCGACGAGGGTGTATCTGCCCTTGGTTCACCTAAACACATGGCAGCACACAAAGCAAACGGCATACCTTAAGATAAGTGACGGCGAGCTCGGCCTGCAGCCCATCAGCGAGCTGCACGAGGGCATGGTCGGGCTTGTTGTGAAAACCCAACGCACACCCCAAGGCGCCACACAGACAGCATACACTAGGACATCGTACTCCATGGCACCACAGGGTGGACAGCAACACACCTTGAGATAAGTGACGGCGAGCTCGGCCTGCAGCCCATCAGCGAGCTGCACGAGGGCATGGTCGGGCTTGTTGTGCAGGAACTTGATTCGCACCACGTTGCCGTAGTTGGACACCAGGTTGAACAGCTTGTCTGCATCCACCACCTGACATGTGTGATGGGGAGGGTGAAGCACGGAGTGTGGAGTGTGGTTAGAGAGCATGGAGTGCGGTAGGCAGTGCATCGTAGGGGCACCACGTTGCCGTAGTTGGGCACGCGGTTGAACAGCTTGTCCGCGTCCACCACTTGGCATGTAAACGGTTGGAGACGGTAGAGAGGGTGGAGCATGGTAGAGAGCATGTAGTAACGACGGGCTCTGCGTGATAAGGGCACCACATAGCAGTAGTTGAGAACGCGGTTGAACAGCTTGTCCGCGTCCACCACCTGGGAGGGGTTCAAGAAGAGTGCAGGTTTAAAGGGCCGGGTGGTGTGTGGAAAGTGCAAGGCGCGCCCATGGCAATGCTGGATAGCGCATGGAAAGGGGCAGCAACAGGAACTGTCTGCACGTTTGAAGAAGCAACTCTCTAAATCAGGTCAGAAGTCCTCATGGGCCACGTCAGCATGTCACGTCTCCCGCGCCTGACGTCAGCGCACCTCATGGTGGATGTTGGAGATGAGCAGTGTGCAGCGGTCGTTGGTGCCCGTCACACCCGGCGGCAGGTTGCCCCCGAACATCTGCGCCGCCGCTGCTGCTGCCATGCCGGGGTTCTGCATGCAGAGGACATTCAGAGCAGCAACCCGCCAATGACATACACCATGCACAGGGGTGATTTTTGAGGCGCCTCAAAAACCATGTTGGTGTTCTGCATGCAGCCAAACATACAGAGCAGCAACCCGCCAATGACATACACCACGCAAAGGAAGCTCCAACATGCAATGTACGCCGCAGCGGCAGCAGTGCCAACAGCAGCGGTGGCAGCAGCAGTAGCAGCAGGAAAGGCACAATTAAGCAGCAGGATGACCAATACACGCAGAAGGCAAAAGGGCTCACCCCATATGCGTTGAGGCCGCCCATGCCCGGCTGGGGCATGCCCGGCTGCCCCATCTGTCCCATCTGCCCCATCTGCCCCATTTGCCCCATCTGTCCCGGAAACACACCCGGCCGCTGCCCGGGCATGGCGCCATACACATTCCCGCCCTCGCCAAACAGTGACGTCTGCTGCTCACGCGGAAAAAATAAATTAGAAGAATGAGAGGCGCGTCAGTTACACAAACGGGCGAAGGGAGGAACTTAACGGGACAGGGAATGACCACTGGCTGTCTCCGCTTACCATCATGGGTGCCTTGCCCGGCTGATCCGGCAGCTGGTTGACATAGTCTCTGGTGCGCTCGTTGTTGTAATGCACCTGTAGCTCGCTCAAACTGCACACCGCACACACCATCACCACAGCCGCCACCACCATGAGCACCCGCACCACCACACCATTCACACGCGCGCGCACACACGCAGGGGCAGAACGACACACACACACACACACACACACACACACGCACGCACGCACGCACACACACACACACACACACACACACACACACACACACACACACACACACACACATCATGAGAACCACTGTTGCCAACATTGTAACTAACATCGTTGGGACCACCAACGTTGTAACTTGTAACAACCACCGACATTGACACACGGAAGAAACCCAACAGAGGCACCTCGTCGAGCTTAAAACGGCTGTTACGTAGGACCAATCCTATTGAGTGCTGCAGGAGCAAGATAAGAGTTGGCTTTTGAAAACCACGTCCTTCTGGCAGAAGTAAGAGTTGGTTTTAGGAGAGGAGGGGGGGTGGAGGGGGGTGGGTTGCGGGGGGGGGGAGATATAAGAACATGTGTATATAACAGGGGGAAACGTACTTGGAGAACTGGATGTCGAGCGTGCAGCAGCCGTCGTAGATGTTGCGGCCCTGCAGGTTGGTCTTGGCGGCGGCCGCGCTCGCCTGGTTGTTGTACTGCACCAGCGCCTGCAGCCCTGCTCCGCGCAACACCGGGGGACGGGGGAAAGGGGAGGCAGCGCGGGAGACAGCACGAGGTGCAGCACGAGAGGGAGCAGCAGAGGCCGCGGTTGAGAACAAAGCGGTCGGCGGTCGAGTTTCCCGCGTGTGAGGGGACAGCCTGACCCCTCACTCCGGGGGATGACGACCGACGTCTAATACCCCCGGGGGTACTTTGGCCGCGGTTAGAGAAGACGAGAGGGAGCAGAAGGAAAGGAGCGGAAGGAAAGGAAGGAGCGGAAGGAACAGAAGGCAGGAAAGAGTGCAAGAGCGAGAAGGAGGGAGAGGGGGGTCGGACCAGCAGCTTTCTGGAAAGTGACGATCTTCTCAACAAAGCCATGGGGAGAAAAGACTTGGTGAAGCACATCCACGTTGATTGGATACAGCGGGTTGTGGATTGTGACTAGGATTATGCGGTTAGGGGCACCCTGGGGAGACGAGCGAGGAACGGGAAGGAGAAGGGGGAGAGAGAGGGGAGAGAGAGGGAGGAGAGAGGAGGGGAGAGAGAGGGAGAGGGTAAGATCTGAAGAACGGATGAGAGGAAACGGCGGAGAAGGTATGGAAAGGTTGAGAAAGGTACGGAAAGGCGGAGAAAGGTACGGAAAGGCGGAGAAAGGTACGGAAAGGCGGAGAAAGGTACGGAAAGGCGGAGAAAGGTACGGAAAGGAGGAGAAAGATGCACAAAGGCGGAAAAGGTAGGTACGGAAAGGAACGAGAGCAGTGAGGAGGAAGAGGAATAGGGACGGTCGATCCGTGACTCCTTGTCGTCGGACGGCTAGCATGCTCTCCGTAATACGGATAGTTCCCGCTATTGCCCGATCCAGCATTCCTCCGTTGACTAGAATTCACGTACCTCCTGGTGTGTCCTGCCCGGATTCTCGTTGGGCGTGAGGACCTGATGCGAGGAGAACTGGCAATACACGTTCCTCCCCCTGCACACGGTTACACGGTTACAACGTTAGCAGTTACATCGTTTCATGGCGACGCGAGGTTGTGTGAATTCTTTGGCAATTAACAGGCACGATGAACTGAATCAATAATGCCATGGATGAAATATAGGAACAACTATTATTTATTACTTGATGGAGGCCTGCACGCCAGTGTAGAATTGGATCATGTTGATCGCAGCTGCAATGTCCTGCATCTCAATGAGGGCCTGCAAGAAATCACAATTTTGAATTAATTACAAGTGAAATGACGAATCAGCCGAGCAGGATGAAGGCACACGAGAGAAGACTTTGCAGATCGACAATCGAACCTGGTTCTTGGCTCTCATGACGACGACCCTCTGCACCGGTCCGAAGTTCTGCGCCAACTGCTGCACATCGAGCTGCAGAAGAGAATAATCGAGATTAAAAGATGAGTAAAACGAGCAAAATAAATTCTGTAATTTACTAAAATCATGCAGATCTGGAACGTGCTAAATGTTCGAAACCCTCACCTCCGTGGCCTCAGATGGCACATTGCGGACGTGAATGACCTTCGACGCGGATTCGGCCATGGCTAACCAATTCTAAAGAACGGAGGGAACCGAAAAACTAAGTTAACTACTCTGATACGAGCGTGACAAGCGGAGATGCAATGGCTAGAGAAGAACTGCTAAGAGGGTTTGACAGATAGTGATAGCGAGATCTGCAGAACAAATGAGGAAAGAATGGAACTGACCGGTTGGCCTTGCTGGGATGAGTCATCTTTCGCGACATAAACAATTTGTTACAAAGTTTTGCGAGGCCTATTCCAGGGACCTGCCTGTACGGTTTCTCCAAGGCCTACAAACATAAACGTCACGAGTTGTACGGTTTGCGATGCGCTTCTAAGCGAGGACAGTCTCACCCAGACGAGCAAGTTGCCAGCTGCTTATCACAATTTAAGGTTCTCCTTATCCAACCAACCACACCAACCTTCCACACACCACCACCAATCCACTGACTCCACACTGCACTCCGCACCACACGCAACTCCGCTCCACCCTACTGTCCTTGATTCTCCTCCTCCTTTCTGATGGCCTTACCGCTGAACGCCGTATCTACTGATGTCTTCAGATGGCCATGCCTTCGGGTATTGGTTCCTGAATTTTAGAAGACCGTATTTCAGACCTCATGCATGCTTCAGTGACCGTACTCCCAAGCTGTTGGAACCCTTACTGACCAGAAGATGCTATGGCCTGATCATCACTCCATTCACTAACCTTTTTATTGTGCTTAGAGTCTGAAAGCAGGGATGATCTCTCACCTGCTACGTTGTTCAGACAGTTGCTACTAGGTTGCTCTTAAACTGCCGAAGGATACGTCAGAATGACGAAACGTACGACCGTTACTGTATCGTTCCTTGTGCTGATCGTTTTTGCCACGTCATCATTGTCAGCCACAAGTGACGCCACGACTTACAGAAGACGACTCGCCGTGTTCACCGCCTCGCTGGTATGCCTTCATTCCTTATGCATTCGTGCCTTCAACTTCACATGCGTGCATGTGTTATTGAGAACTCGTGCATGTGCTAGTGCAAACGCGTGCATGTTTCATTCTAGTAATTACACATGAATTTCGCCTGATATTTGGTGGCTTGTAACGGCTGATGCGGGATCGGTGTGCGCAGATGGACGAGAGTCCCGGCAGTCGCCTGCAGCGAGAGAGCGCCGCCGCGTGGACTTCCTCCACCGACGGCCCCAGCTTCCTGCGCCAGATTGTGCCCGCTGACTCGTCCAGCGACGCTGCTGACTCAGCCAACGGTGCTGCTGACACCTCGTCAGCGACTTCCGCATCCGTATCTCCATCGCCTGAAACCAAGCAGTCCTCTGCTACTGCTGACTCCAGTGACACGGCCACATCGCCTGGCAAGGGCACTAAAAGTGAGAACAAGCAGTCAGACCCAAAGCCGTTACAGCAGCAGCCGCCGCAGCAGCCGGAGGAGCAGCCGCAGCAGCAGCAGGCGGCGTCATTCGGGCAGGTGCTACCCACTCAGGGTGACCTGGCGTCGCTACCCGACTGCACGCGGCAGCTCGCGGCGTTCCCCAAGCTGAACCGCTCCGACGAGGCTGTGAGGCGCTTTGCCTGCATCGCCGACACCTACCTTCACCCCTGGATGGGCTCGAGTTTGGTGAAGAAGGGCGGTGTAGGAGGGGCGGCGGAGGAGGAGGGGCCACGTGGCATCATCTCACAGGCCATGCTGCAATACGTGGCGTCTGAACCCGGGGTGAGCTTTGTAATCTGGCTCCTGTGAGAAGTGAGGCGGTTGATTGAGAGACGTCTTAAAACTCATGAGTCTGTCTGTTCCAGTCTATGTGGCTCTCTCTTCTGTCCCTCGTCTACCTGCTCTATCCAATTTTACTCACGTCAACTCCTCATAATCAGGCGCCCAAGAACAATGTTTCTCCCTTCCCCTCCCCCGCAATGCTTTCACACACGCCAGTTCATGTCATGCGCAGGCGTCGGACCACATCCGCATCATCGACGGGCAGGTGTATTTCCGCCACGCCTTTCAGGACGTCTCAAAGGCACTTCTTCTTCCCAATTTCCTCCCTCCCCACCGCCCCCTTTGGTTCCCACCCACCAGTTCATGTCATGTTCGGGTCACATCCGCATCATTGACGGGCAGGTGTACTTCCGCTACGGGGGCTTCCACTACCAGTGGGACCGTCTGCACCGCTTTGTGCAGTCCGTGAAGCTCATCCAGGCCGCTATCCGCCACTACTCCCTGCTCGCCCTGCGTGCCGAGTTCTTCCTCTCCACCTGCGACCTCCCCAAGAGCTTTGATAGCTCGCTGAGTGGGATCTTTGGCGGGCGGCCCATCTTCAGCACGGAGTGGCTGCCGGGCACGCTGGATATCATCGTGCCTGACCCGCTGGATTTATCGGAGAGCTACCAGGCTGGCAAGGACGCCAAGGTGAGGGGTGGGAGGCAAGGAAGCGTTTTGGTTCACTGCGAGGTGATGTGCCAGAGCGCTGGCGCTGCTGCTCCCTGTCTGCCTCACTGCTCCCCATTCGCCTCGCTCTCCCTCCGTGCCACCCTTCTCTCCCCAGACCCCCTGGGAGCAGAAGGCGAGCAGGGCGGTGTTCAGGGGCGGCTTCACCAACTTCAAGCTGGGCCCCGACCACCGCTGGCGAGTCAGCCCGCGCTATCGCCTCCACCGGTCAGATTCCCTCCACGCTCGCCCACGCCCTCCCACGCCCGCACACGCCCGCCCATACCCTCCCATGCCTTGCCCTACCCCTTTTCCCGCCCATACCTTCCACCTCTCGTCCGGCTTTGCTTGCTTTCTTGTGTTTCCTCTTGCCCTCAATCGTCGGACATTCAGCCACGCTGTGCTCTTCCCTCCCGCACTTGCTCTCTCCCTCGCTTCCCCCACTCTCACGGTTCCATCCCATGGGTGCCTTTTCCCCATCGCATTGAATTCTTTTGTTCAACTTTGGATGAATGAGTGGGTGGTGTGGTGGGCGGGTGGGTGGGTGGTCACTGGGGTGGGTTGTGACTGGGGTGGGTGGCCATGGCGGTCGGTGTGGGTGCAGGGGCGGACTGCACGCGTGGCAGAATGACGGATGCGCGCCCAGACCTGCTGGATGCTCGAGTCATGCGCCTGCTCGTGGATGACAAGACCAGAAACATGTGAGTCAAGGCAGATGTGAGTCAAGGCAGATGTGAGTCAAGGCAGATGTGAGTCAAGGCAGATGTGAGTCAAGGCAGATGTGAGTCCCACAGCATGTGAGACCCGCAGCATGTGAGACCCGCAGCATGTGAGACTAGAAACAGCACGCGAGGTCACACATGCGAGGACAGAAGCATGTGTTTGAGAAGCGTGAGCAAGTGTGATAGCAATCGTGAACGACTGGAAACGCATGAGGCAATGCTTGTGTGCATGCATGCAGGGCGATGGGAGACGGGTTGAGTGAGGCGGCCAAGATGGAGAAGGCGGAGTCGCAGCGCTTCAAGTACGAGGTCGTTGTGGACGGCGGCGCTGGCTCCTGCCGCACCTGCGGTGTGCTGGGGAGTGACCAGGTGAGCCGCTTGCCTTGCGTGTGCTGTGTGTGTGCTGTGTGTGTGCTCGGCAGCGACCAAGTAAGCCTTTTGCCATATGTTCCACCACCACTGCATCCTCAGTAGCTATGGAATCGGCTCAATGCATCTCTTCCTTATTCCCCCCCTGCTGGTGCTGCTGGCGCTGTGTGCGCTGCTGTTGCTTCCGGTGTTACTGGTCCTCTTTAACCTGTCTCGCCGTCTCCCATCCCGCACCCCATTCACAGGCCATGATCCAGCAGGACACGCCCTTGGCACGGTTCTTCCAGCCGCTGCTGCACCCACAGCTACCACAATAGTCTAACTTTCTTCTTGGCTGATCTTGTTAACTACTTCCCCACATCTCGCACCCCTCGTGCAGGCCATGATTCGGCAGGACACGCCCTTTGCACAGTTCTACCAGCCGCTGCTGCAGCCGTGGCGGCACTTCATCCCCACGGACCACTTTTTTGGGGACCTCTTTGACCGCGTCGAGTGGGCGAGACAGCACGACACCCAAGTGCGACACATGATTGCCAACGCGCACCGCGTTGCCAAGTGAGTGTGGCCGCCTGCTTCCCACACTGTGCCACGATGCTCTGCCTACAATGCACACTGTGCCGCGATTCATTGCTTGCTATTCACACCGTGCGTGACATGCTCTTTTCTTTCTAAATCACCCATTCTTGATATTCACACAGTTGCACGCCATCTCCAAACAACGCTTCTACCTGTCTTGCTGTCACGCCATCTCCGCTCTTCCCCTTCCTCCCCCTCCACCAGGTGGGGGTGCTCCCTGGAGGGCCGAAAGCTCTACTGGGCGGTCCTCCTCGTCAAGTACGCCGCCCAGGCCCTCGAAGACCCCTCCGCAGTCACCCGCCCGGACGTCGTCTCCACATGCCCTGCGCCGCCCGCTAAGGACCGCATGCGGCCGGCGCAGGAGGAGAGTGAGATTGTGAGGCCGGAGGCGGGGTGGCCGCCGGTGTGTGCGGATAAGGACGTGGCACGGGTGAAGCAGCCGCCCTGCACTTTCTTCTGTGTGAAAGGACCCATGCCACGCAACAGGCAGGTCTGGCTCAATGCGGACCTCTTTGACTCGGTTGACTTTGTGGGCCCGCATGTCGCTGACATGGACGAGTAGGTGCTGGGCATGGATGTAGACAGGGATTCCATGAAACATATAATACACTAGTTTTAACAAAGTTTTAAGGCATAATGTGCCCATTCATTCCTAAAGATTAAGTAACTCTTCAGACGTTTCTTGTTCCACATACCAATCACAGCGCCTAAACTTGATGGTGGTGCTAGAGAAGGCAAGTGCATTTCACAAGTTATCAGGAGCACAGCGGACTTCATTCCTTCCTACCCTTGCATGAGTTCCATAATTACGTCTTCTGTGCCGGGGCGACCAACTGTAATCGTATCAAAGGATTTTACGACATTCCCTTCTCGGAACACCAGCAGATTGAGCGTACCGCTGACGTAGTTGTGCGAGGCCACCCAGGGGTATTTATCGATGTCCACCTCGTAGAACGTTACTAATCCTGCCTGAATCTCCGCATTGAAGCTGCTCGCGATATCGGCAAAAACGGGACCAAATGTTTCGCATTTCCATGTATGGGTGCTGTCGTAAAGGGCGACCACGATAAGACCTGAACCAGAAAGAACGCGCGTCTGCCATTCATCCTCGCTCAGCGCACTCACGAGTTCAGAGCTAGCGAACGCCATCAAAATCAGTTTACGAAGCTGTGAAAGGGACGAGGACAAAGGCTATTGTGAATACTGACAGACTACGGAGTGAATGGCTATGAAAAAAAGGTCTTTCGTAGAGTAGTTACACGAGGGAGAGACGCTCTGACTGAGGGGAGGCCTTCGTTTGCTGGCAGTGGCCTTCATTTTCCGCCAATCGGGACATCGAGGTCAACGTGGCCAACTGTACAGTACGATAGTACGTGTACGCCTGGCCCTATCTAAATTGACACGCTGCCCCATCAGGACGCGTCACGAGTGAAAAACCGATCCTGCACAAGATCGGTGTTTCGCGGCTACAATGCATTCACGACGTCGTTAATTTCTTGTTACCTTTTTCGTCATTTGTCGCCAATGTACAGTTGTCCCCTCGGAGTCGGGCGATCGACCTCCCTTGTCACACATCGATCGTGCAATTTCGTCCACATCGGGCAATTTTGCCCCATGATTTTCCGATCGTGTCACTTGGGGCTTGCGGTGGGCACGCGATTGCAAAAAATCAGTCATGGCACACCGATGTGGCGATCGATTTGGCAGGGTCGTGAGGTCCCGACCCTTCCTCGGTTTTTCACTTGTAATGGTCCTCACGATTTGAGTATAGTGATCCACAGACGAGCCCGACCAACCTAATCGCTTTAAAGGGGACTCAACCAGCCCGTCTTGACTTGACAGCAATCCGCCAACAGAGGCGGGGTGGGTGGGCCACAGAATCACGGCTCTTCCGTTTTCAGCCTCTGTTCCATTTCTATGGTTGAGAGCTTCCTGATCGGCTGAGAGAATTTCTCCAGACTCCGAAACGGTGATTTGCCGTTGCACACGTGGCCTCGAATTGCTACCGTGGTCGGACAGTTCGATGATAATTGCTCGAGTGGTTTTGCCAGAGGTTTCCTCTGGCATTTTTTTAATCCGGCACATTACCCAAAGCCGGTTTTTAGCCCCTTAAATTCTTACGTCGAACGTGTCTCTTCCCGCGAAAGTGTGGCGTACCCGGAAAGACGTGCACGAGGGCGACAACGTCACTATTCGGATACGCAACAAAAATCAGCACACTCATCTAGGCAAACAGTTGCGCTCAATTTCAGTCCATATCGTAACCAATCCGCGCATAGTTATATGATTCTACGATCATATATTCAGTTGGACGGATATCAGTACGCGCGACCAATTACAGAGTGCGCTTGATTGGTCGACTTTATGCGCGAGGCCTTTTCTGACCTTGCACGTCCAATCAGACGCGGTCATGTAAGATCGCGCTCATATAAAACCGCATATTTACCTATATGAGCGAGCATATGTGATGCTCGAATGTGTGTATGATCTATTTTATTAATCTAAAACTATATTAATAAATTTGAGAGACATTATCACTGCCGACATTTTGTCATTATACCTATATCACGCTGTGCGATATAGGTATGCACAGTTTGATATAAGTATAATGGCAAAACGCTGGTAGTGATAACGTCTCCCTAATCTATTAACATAGTTTTTATATCAATAAAACATATCACACACACATTTGAGCATCACATATGCGCGCTCATTTAGGTAAATATGCGGTTTTATATGAGCGCAATTTTACATGACCGCGTCTGATTGGACGCGCAAGGTCAGAAAATGCCCCACGCATAAAGTCGACCAATCAAGCGCACTCTGTAATTGGTCGCGCGTACTGACATCTGTGCAACTGAGTATATGATCGGGGAATCATATAACTATGCGTGGATTGGTTACGATATGGACCGAAATTGAGCGCAACTGTTTGCCTAGATTACCGTGCCGATTCTGTCGCGTATCCGAACAGTGACGGCGCCGCCCTCGTGCACGTCTTTCCGGGTGCGTCACACTTTCGCAGGAAGAGACAAGTTCGACGTAAGAATTTCATGGCTAAAAACCGATTTTGGGTAATGTGCCGGATAAAAAAAAATGCCAGAGGAAACCTCTGGCAAGACCACTCGAGCAATTATCATCGAATTGTCCGACCACGGTAGCAATTCAACGCTACGTGTGCAACGGCAAATCACCGTTTCTAGGTCTGGAGAAATTCTCTCTGATCGGCTCCTAAGCAACGTGGCCTCCAGCTCTTGCGTATGATGCATCGCTTGGGATGCCTGATGGCCTCCAACTGGAGGCTTGCCTTTTTATCCAGCGGGCCTGGTCTGCTCATGCCTGCAGTATGAGATTCTAACGGGCGGGATTCAATTGTGCAGTTTTTCTTTTCATGTTTAGCTTCCAAAATAGGCCTGGATGGGGCTTGTACAGCAGATATATTGCTATGAACAGCTGTGGCAGCACTACTGTGCCCAGGTCACATAAATACGATACTACTCTTGCGTTTTTTGTTGCAGCAGAGATACAAATCAGTTGCCGCACGGGACAGGTTGGCATTCGTGAGGGGCACGAAAGACGTCATTCGTAAACCGGCAAGATCTTCACCAGCTCATCATGCAGACCATCCGTGCATGATGTCCCAAGGTTTTTCACAAGCTCGCCTTGTCGGAACGCAAGCAGATTGAGGGTACCAGTGAGGTTGTTGTCCGAGAGCATGCGGGGGAACTTGTGGACGTCCAGTTCGTAGAACGTTATTGATCCTGGTTGGAAGCGGTACAGCTAATGCTCGTTAGAGCCCCTCCCGGTTGCCTTGTGAAGGGGGTCTGTATGCTAAACCGACATTTCGTAGGGGGTTCGCTTGTTTCGTTAGGCTTTGCGCGTGCATCTAACCTGCACATGGTTACCACCCGATTTGTCCGTTCCGGAACAGTGACGGGTGGCTCTAATTGTCACAAATGCGCGTTACTGAATACTTCACGAAAGCAACAACATGTCACCAAACAGCGTCAACAATTGTTCAACTTAGATTGAAACAACCAACACTCAAAGCCTAACCAATCACCATCTCCCACATGGTCACGCAGCCCCAACCTTGACACACATCACCACACGCACAAATGTGCTGCTGGGAAAACAATCCCAACACAGCATGGATGTCTTCGACGCCGGCACAGAGGGCTGGAAAAACAGCTCACAGGCGCATCCACTCAGCCGCCTCAACCTACCCGCCCATGGCGGCGCCAACACCGCCGTCCAGCAGCTGCTGCCGGCGGGATGGCTGGGTCATCCAGCCAGGCAGCACACGGCCGCGCGGACGAAGGGTGTCGGGCGTGGGCGTTGAGCCCGGAGTGAGCACACGCGGCGGGGCCATGTTGAGATTAATGGGGGGGCTTGCCCGCTCCATGCGCTCGAGGATGACGGGATTGCGTATGTCGAAGAGGTAGCAGAGGTCGCGCGGCGTCACGCTCACGGCGCGCGCATAGCCGATGAGCATCTCACAGGCCGCCCGGGCAGTGCGTCGTGCTTCACGGCCCACGGGGTCCGCATCGTCGTACACCGCCTGCATCGTGGTCGGCGCCCTCCATAGCGTCGCCACCAAGGCCGCTTCCGGCTCATCAGTCAGAAGCTCCGCCGCGGTCTCGGCGGACGTTGGCTCACCGTCGTCGATCGCCACGTATTTCGCGGCGGTCATCGCGCCGTTCCCGAGACCGAGGGAGCTAATGAGAGTTCCGACGTCGTTGATGTCTTCATCGAGCTCGATGTCGGGATAGGGATGCGGGGTCGGCTCGTCGTCGTGAACATGGGTCAACTCCAGCGACCACGACAGCGGCAGGCATCTAGTGCGCCACCAGCACCTCTGGATGGTGCGCGCACCGACGCTCATCCATGCGTCCGAGAGCCACCCCAGGACGTCGCGCAGGTTGGGGCGGTACCGTGCGACGGCGCTCGTCGCACCGTCGTCGTTCCACAGTGCCGTGAAGGTTGGAGCGGTCATCCAACCCTTGGCGTTGTGCCGCCAATAGCAGACGGCTTCGGGGTCGTAATCCGGGCGGAAGTCGTGGGGGCGCCTCGCCTTGCTGATGACCAACGGCCGGAATGCGTGGCTCCCGTCCGCGTTCACGAGAAACGCCACGGTTAGGCGGTCCTTGGAGATTTTGCGCCCTGGTATGCGGGCGTTGCTGTAAGTCCTCCGCGGCAGCACAGACAGCCAGAGGGCTGTCTCGTCCAGATTGTAAGTGTCGCGCGGGCTGAGGCTGAGGTGCGTGAGCAGGTGCGGCAGCTTGTCGCGGGCGTCACGCACGACAGCCATGTCGGCGCTGGCAGCCTCGCCTGCCGATGCACGACATCTCACCCCCTGGCACCGCAACGCACGGCGCACCCAGCCAATGGAGCAGCGGAAGCCGGGCGGGATGCCCATGTTCCGCGCCATTGTCGCAACGTGGTCGCGGATCGTCTGCAGCGTTAGAGGAACGCCAGCGGGTCCGGCGTTTGCAATCCAACGCGCCATGGCCTGTTCCAGCTCAGGCCACGCGCCACCTCGACGGCGAACATGGTTGTCGCCCGTTGCCGTGACAGCCCAGCGTTCGGCGCTTTTCAAAATGCGGCCGACGGTGGAGCGGTCCGGACGCAAGCCGTATTGAGAGAAACACCAGCGGGCGAGGTCAACGTGACGGAGGCGCGGGTTTTCGACCTGATGAAGGCATAAGGCGCGCTTGACATGCAGCGGAAGCTGCTCGCGGCGATTAAATCGCGGCATGGTGGGAGGCTGGGGTGGGTGAGAACGATGCTTAAGTGAATTTGTGGGGCGGATTTTAAACTTGGTTGGATGAGGAGGCGGAGCATTGCTGGGGCCTGTTCTGTATCCCTAATTCTATTTGTGTGGCTCTTGTTCGTTCCATGCACATGGCTGGCGATTTCAATCGTGTGGTTGGGTTACCAGACGGTCGAAAGTCTGACGTGGGGTAGGCGAACAACGTCTGGCTATTAATGCGCTTGTACCCCGCTCATGCAGAGTACACGTGGCAGCGTGAATCGGCCTAAGTGTCTGTTACACGCACGATGATCCTAGCTTAGGTGGCGGGGCAGGTGTGCGAATGTGTTCACGAAACCACGGAGTTTTCGTCCATTCGTTTCGCCTGCCTGGCTCCTAGCCTAGAAACAAGGCAAACATGGGTCGGCAGGCCTTGTTGTGGACTGCACGTGTATTGTGGGCCGGACCGCGTGGACTGTAGTTAGCCATCCATGTGCCTGTACTGTGGGAGCAGCAAGCAGGGGTTTCGAGCTCGGGGGCAGCGTTTCCATCCGGTGCATGGCAAATTCGCGTGCACTGGTCGGGCATCAATTGTACTGCATTTCCTGCTGAAAGGTATTCGCGACATTGCCAAAAACGGGACCAAATTTTCGGCACTTCCATGCATGGGTACTGTCGAAAAGGGCGACCACGATCAGACCCGAGCCCGAAAGTACGCGCGATTGCCATTCATCTTGAGTCAGCGGAATGACGAATTCCGACTTAGCGAACGCCATCAAAATTAATCAACCAAGATGTAAAGAGGTGAGTGCAAAAAGCCTACCGAGAAATCTGATGTGACTCTCGCCTGAATTAGATGGCGTTCCCACGTTTGCCCGCCATCGAAATCACCCGATCAGGCTCGATATTGGGCGGGATGGTGTCCAGAGTGGGGTACTCTCCCACTCTGGACACTCTGTAGTTGCGATCTGCGCGATCCCAATTGAGACTCGCACAAACACTTTAGGGTTCGCGCCCAATGAAGACGTTCATTTGACAGTCGCGCCAACTCAACGACTACTGCGCATAACACAACTCAAGCCAGGGTCTCAAGTAGAGCAAGTGCTTTGCAGTTGTGAGAAAAAGGGTTGGGCTGATTGGCTTACGAATCACGAACAAACGTCCTGCCAAAATTCAACTCGCCAAAGAACAAACACTTCGCAACACGAACCCTCACATTTTCGCGAAACCCTTACCCTCGATCGCAGGGGGTGTGCAAGACAGCCAAAGACGACGGAGTGGGTGTCGCACGCCAAACCCAGGTCTCGGTCAACTGTTTTGCGCAATCAACAACTGAGACACCCCTTACAAACACACTCACCAGCCTTAGACCTAATCAGACCTTACGTAGTCGAGACTGGTGCTGGTTCAAGGGCGACGACGAACAGATACCAGTGATTACCGAGGTACGTGAGTGATGGTAGAGACACGCATAGGCTCAGCGCGAATAGGAAAGGACCTGCACGAAAGCGACCAATGGCATTGAGCCCCACGTTCCCTCGCCCCTCAAATCAGCGTGCGTACTGGGACTGCAAACGATATGGAGTGCATCGCACATGGCGACGTCCAACTGACAGGCGCCACACCCTGCAGTGTATGAGCGCAATACGGTGTTGCGGATTAGATGCGAATTTCAGGCCAACAAAGCGTGAGGACTCACAATCCGAATACATCAGCGGACGACTGCGAGAATGCAAACTCGCCCGCACCAGGGGAATGACATGGCAGGCTGCGCAACTCAAAAAAGCGCATTCCGACGGAAGTTACAGGGCAAAAATGCTCCCCCAGGAGCACACGCCAAACACTAGGCATCTACGCGGAATGCTAACTATCCTTCCCACATCTGATCCAGGCCTCGATCAACCCCGCTCCCCCCATTTCCCTTCACCGCAGTACTCGCATACGGGTATGCGTCAATTTCGGAAAGACGGAAGGCAACAACGAAAACATATAGTATCCCCTTTGCACACGATAAGAGGTGCCTGTGAGCCAAATGCCCGTGGGCATTTGCTACAATGTGACAATGCGGAGTTATAAAAGAGGCTGCATGGCGCGAACGCCAAGGGAGCGGGTCCTAGGTAGACGGTAAGGGAGGCAACCCCTCCCGAAATGCTCCTCTTCCCTCCCGCGCCTCGCTGCTCCCCCGTTGTGCTTCTCCCTTGCTCCGATGCCCCGCTGATCCGATACTCTTATGCTCCCCAAAGCATCCCCCACGCTTCCACTCCGCCTTCCCCCACGCTTCCACTCCGCCTTCCCCCACGCTTCCACTCCGCCTTCCCCCACGCTTCCACTCCGCCTTCCCCCCCGCTTCCACTCCGCCTTCCCCTCCGCTTCCACTCCCCGCCCCCGCGCTTCACTTTCCGTCACCCACTGTTTCACTCCCCTTCCCCCACTGTGACACTCCCCCTTCCTACACTCTTCCACTCCCCTTCCCCCACGCCTCCAATGCAACATGCATTGCTGTTACACTCCGAATCCCCGACGGGTCAGCTCCCATTCCATGGACGGTTACACTCCCATTCTCCCATGCTTCCACTCCGCCTTCCCCCCACGCTCCCACTCCCCCTCCCCCACTGTTTCACTCCCGTTTCCACCATGCTCCCACTCCCCTTCCCACACTGTTTCACTCACCCTTCCCCCACTGTTTCACCCACCCTTCCCCTACTGTTTCACTCCCATTGTAGGACTGTTTCACTCCCATTGTAGGACTGTCCCATGCAGACCTGCACCCATGGTCCCATGCTCCCCTGCACCCATGGTCCCATGCTCCCCTGCACCCATGGTCCCATGCTCCCCTGCACCCATGGTCCCATGCAGACCTGCACCCATGGTCCCATGCTCCCCTGCACCCATGGTCCCATGCTCCCCTGCACCCATGGTCCCATGCAGACCTGCACCCATGGTCCCATGCTCCCCTGCACCCATGGTCCCATGCTCCCCTGCACCCATGGTCCCATGCTCCCCTGCACCCATGGTCCCATGCATACCTGCACCCATGGTCCCATGCTCCCCTGCACCCATGGTCCCGTGCTCCCCTGCACCCATGGTCCCATGCTCCCCTGCACCCATGGTCCCATGCTCCCCTGCACCCATGGTCCCATGCTCCTCTTCATCACGGACCACCATGTAGTGTCAAATCTCAACCCCTCCTTATTGTGTCCCCAACTCACCCCATCTGCATTCCCACAGATTCCGTGCCCCACAGTTTGAACATGGATCGGAGAACTCGGCATAAGGGATTGTCTCTGGGCACACGACTAACTGATGAATTGGAGAGTGATTCGGACAGCGACGATCGTGGACAGCCATGGAAGAACCGCAGATTAGTGGGTGGTGGCATGAGGAGGGGGCGGAGTCGAGCCAGCAGCCAGCTAGGCCATATCAAGCCTCTTCTGCGGCGCTCTCACACACCATCTGGCAAACCAACTGTACTGCTGGAAGCCAGCGAGTCGTGGTCCCTTGAAGAATTTGCCCGGGTCTACCCCAAACAGAACAGTGTTCTCGAGAAGTGGGCTATAGAGGAGTTAGAACTGCCCCAAGAGAGCCAAGGCGATGTGGCCGACAACATATGAACGGTCGAAGCAGTTGTGCGCATATGTTGTGGGAAGAACACGCAAACATCCAACAACGGCCGTCCCATGCTTCCCAAGAATCACAGGTTCAGGTGTTACGTACGCTTTTCCGACCTGCTTGGAGACGATCAAGAGGCCCACGTAAAACTGCCATGGTTAGTGTACGTTGTGATAGGATCTTTGTACCCCGAGACCGTCCAAATGAACGAGGGCTACCGGAATTGCACGCAGTCGGATGTTGATTTCTTCTTGGGTGAGTGGGATCCACCCGAAGACATAGACTTTGGAATGCGTAGTTTTGAGTCAGGAGTTACAGCGTCTAGGGTGGATGGCTAAACCGTCGCACCGGATTGTGGCGGTGATAGTTGTGCCTAGGACTCTATACTTTGTATTATTTGTTGCAGTTTTGGTCTCAACAGAAGTAGAGTGGCTAATGCACTCATGTCTGATCTTGTATCACGCGAGTGATTGTGTGCAGAACAAATACCGTAAAGATCCATGTAAGGCGTATGACTAATTACTAGTGTAAAATCAAGGTGTGCACTTGGTGCCTTCCACATATCTGCGTGAGGCAGTGGAAAGCAATGTGTGCATCCACCCCTGTTGCTCCTCCATCAACCCCCTTAGAGAGTCCCTGAACACTCACAAACCGTATCCCATGTTACTCAAAACAATGCGGGCATCATGAGGGGACGGCGGCACACGGAGGCAGAAAGGGAGGTGAAGAGTTTGGGGGTGGGGAAAGGGTGTTATTTGCGTGAGGCAGGAGGTGCAATATCTGCATCCGCCCATGCTCCTCATCCAGCTACCACCGTAGAGTCACTGGATCGTGCACAAACCCCATTAGCCTCTGGTGATAGGAAAACACTGCGGGCATCGTGCGGGGATGGCAGCACAAAGGGACAAAAAAGGAGGTGAAGAGTGAGGGGGTGGTGGAAGGGTGTCTCTTGCGTGAAGCAAGGGCTGCAACATATGCATCCGCCCATGCTCCTCATCCATGAACCACCGTAGAGTCACTTCGGTCGTGGGCAAACCCCATTAGCCTCTGGTGATAGGAAAAAAACAGCGGGGGGCATGAGGGGATGGCAGCACAAAGGGACAAAACAGGAGGTGAAGAATGAGGGTGGGAATAAAGGGTGTGTACGGCGTGAGGCATGGGCTGCCATATCTGCTTCCGCCCATGCCAGCCATCCAGCTACCACCGTAGAGTCACTGGATGACACACAAACCGGGTCACGCAGCTGTACAGAGGAGAACAACATGGGCTTCGGCAGGGGATGTGGGAGTAAAGGGGCTTATATAGGAGGTGAAGGGTTGGGGGGTGGGGAAAGGATGTGTTGCCTAAGTTATGGGGGGCAATATCTACAGGCTCCCATGCTGCTCAACCAGCAAGACAATATGACGGCGTGAACCAAACAGGGTGACAGTGATGCATGGTCTAGTGCGAGAAAGAACACATGGTGGTATGGGTTCCATAGGGCCACGATATGAAGTGAATGGTTGGGGGCATGGTTTGGGTACATGTGGATTAGTAGAAGAGCCAAACATTGGAAAGGACATGTGTTGCGAGAAGCAAGGTGCCATAGAACTCCAAAAACGACACTTGGCATACCGGATTGATATCTGTCGAGCGCGTTTGGAGGGGCGACGCACACGTGGTACGACCTGGACCACCTCATCTGAGGTTTGTAACATTCCCTGAAGATGTGGCAAGACAAAAACAAACAGGAGCAATACCATAGTTGCCATTTTAATCGTCGAGAGTCGTCATATACAATCTGCACAAACCAGAGCAAAGACAGTGGAAATGCACATACGGAAGAGTGGTCTGCATGCAGCTATTTGGTTGAGATTGCGTCGCGTCATCCTGCTTCGAGCCGCCCTAGAAGTTGGCGTCACGGGGCCTCCAGGGGTGGTAAAAATGAAGCTGGTGGGCACGGGGGTGGCTGGCGTGACTGCGGCATTGGTGGGAGTGATTCCAGCTAGGGGAGTAGGAGGGTGCGGTGTTTGGGAAAGACCAAGAGGTGTTGCCTCTGCATCCACCGGCCGAGGGGGGGTAGCGTGAGCAGAAACTGGCGTATCAGGGGTTGCATCAACAGAGTGCGGCTCCGTCAACTCAGCCTCCTCATCCCGCTGAGTCGACGGCGCTGCATCATCCCGTACCAGCCCAATATCACGCCAATCAGCCATGAGCTTGTCCAACCAGCTCCAGTCCATGTCCAACAAGATCCGCTCCTTGCTACCACGCCTTACCCTAGTTGCCTTCCGCACGCGTGTCCTGATTGCCACAACAAGACGTGACACCGTTTGGTTCCAGTGCAACACCGAAAGACCTATTCTAGCCACCATACTCTTCTGAAAATGGATCCGCTTCGGTGCATACTTGATTATTAGGGAATGAAATGATTCATTCACCCAGTTACTCGCGCCCTGCACGTAGGGTTCCATTTCTTTCGCACTGCAATGGTCAGCAAGCCATTCTCGGAGTGCCAGATGGGCCTCAGAGTTGGGCTTGTAAACTGCACTCTCCGGTCCCCATTTCTCTGACACGCATCGAGGTACCTCACCCGCATGCCCGCAGCTGCTGTGAATCCTTGCCCAATGGTCTGCAGACACGGCAAGTTGATGTGCAACACGTTCCGCTGATGGGGTCTGTCCACTCTTCACCATCGTATTGCAATTCACCATCACATGGTTGAAGTGCGTACTCCACCGTTGTGCCAGCGTCACCTCATAGTACGGTTCTTCGTCAACTAGGCCCGCGCCGGACTCACCACGCTTCCTTTTAGCACTACCCCTCTCGGTCCAACGCAAATTGTCATCCGCGTTGGCTGGTTCGATCGTGTCCATAGAAGAAGCATGCAACTCCTCTTGCTCTGCACACACGAATGGCAAATGCATAAGAGAGCTTGTGAACCGCGTTCTCCAAGGGCAATGCGATGCAAGGCACGAAATGGACTGCCCGGTACGACTGGATAGTACGAGATGGAGTGCAAGGAGCACAGGATGAAGGAAAGTGGGGAAATGTCTGCTTGGTACGAGATGGACAGCAATGAATGTTGGTGGCTGGAAAGTGGGTAATGACTGGATGGTACAATGAACGAGGGCATGAAACCCCCGGTGGCTGGAAAGTGGGAAATTGACTGGATGGTACGAGATGGGAATGAATGATGGTGGTGAGAAAGTGGGGAAATGACTGGATGATAAGAGATGGAGAGCGCGGCGCAAAGTTGGAACAAAATGGAGGAAAATGTCCAAATTGTACGAGATAGGCAGCATTGAACGATGGTGGCTTGAAGCTGGGGAAATGACTTGATGGAACGACATGGACAGCAAGGAACAAAGGTGGCTGGAATGTGGGAAATGACCGGATGGTACGAGATGGACAGGAATTGAATGATGGTGGCTAGAAAGTGCGGAAATTACTCGAATGTACAGATTGGATGTCCAAGATCGATGATGGCATGCTTGCCCAAAACGAGACCGGAACATGCCCAAACCCCATCTCACCTTTTTCATCCGCTCCTCCACCCCCTGGCGCACATTCTGGCTCTCCATCCATCATTGTATCCGTTGTGAGCCACACGTATTCGGCTTCCGCAGACACAGGAACACCATGCGTTGGATGTGGGTCGAACTCCCAGAGTTGTTGCACACCGGCCCATTGGAAGTTGATGACTTGCTCCGGTATGGATGCACCAGACGGCTGCGCAACCGTGGCTGCATCCACACTCGAGGCGCGTTCTGCCGTGGTTGCACCGACAGTCGTGTGACATCCGTAAGGGGGTCCATCCGCTCCTGATGTCAGCACAGGCGGGGAATTTTCCACAGTCACAGCCTGTTCATGTCCCACATCGCCTTGTCCCAGCCCATCCCTCGCTGTCTTTTGGCGCTTGGCCACGCTGGCCAGCCCCCCCCCTCCACGCTCCTTCACCCGTAGTACCTTCCGCAAATCAGGAAATTTCCACTTCGACGTCGGCACAGCGTTTGGTTCGTATGCAAACTTACCGAGGGTTGGGCATACAGATTTGATGAGATCTGTCTTTGATGACTTGCCACTTAGACCTTCTGTTGCACCGCCGTGCTGTTTCAGCCACCCCCATAACTGTGCGGCAGTGCACAGCCACAAATCCCCAGTGCACGTTGCGGCTTCAACTTCCATCGGTTCTCGTAGCACATCTACCAATAGTTTCAGAAACTTCTTGTAAAGTGCTCTTGCCTTGTGCCACACATCTTTTTGATGTGCAAGCCCTAACTCCGCAACTGCTGTCTTAAAAGAACTGCCATCATCGGAAATAATCCCTTTTAAGTGCACCCCCATGGCAGCTAACTCCTTCAGGCCCTCCTTGAAAGCGATCCCTTCTAGCTCAGTCGAGAAAGACTTCTCGTTTACCCTCGACTTGGTCACTTGGTGCATTATTTTGCGCGTTATGGGGTCCATGAAGGTCACAGTTCCCCATTCGGCCTCGCGTGGATGTGAGTAACGCCCATCTACACAAACCCATTCCCATGGCACGAGTCGTTTGCCCATCTCTTCCCGAACTTCGGCCATAG